GCCTCAGCCCCAGCCCAGCGCCTGTCCCTGAAGGTCTGGGATGTGCTTTCCTTTTGTCCTCTGCTCCAGGCTGGTTCTCGGGAGCAGGTCATTCTTCCAGTGGGTGAGATGTTTGGTCTGAATGATGCAGATCATTCCCTGCCTCACACGGGCAGTGCAAAACTCCACGTGATCCTGGCAAACCTTCAGTGGGCATGGAATGGGCTGCCAGGGGCCAGATGAACAAACTTCAGCACCCTGCTTGACCCGCCTCACAGTCAGACATCACATGCGACAGCGCGGGCATCGTTGTGGCATGGACTCTACGGAGGGCCATGCCTTGAGAGGACATGTTTGAGTTTATGCAGGATGACAGGCTTTGTTTGGGCAGAGACGGGGAGTGGGTTGGGACAGTGGGTGGACAGAGTGAGGTGAAGGTTCTGGAAAGACAGATTGCTGCTTCAATCTCTGAAGCAGGGTACCAGGTCTCACCTAAATAGTGAGAGGTGTCACCTTGAATCCCTTCTGGAAAGAGGTGGAATCAAAGTCAACACAAGGGCTAGCAGGTAACATGGTCATTAGGGAGGTTGGGTTGCACATGGTAGATTGCATGGTTCGCGTCTCAGATCTGGTGGCTTAAAAAACATGCTAGTTAGTGGGTGCATGTGTGCGTGCCCAAAATCCCGAGGAGAGTGGAGAAGGGATTGTGTTGTGGCCGTCCCCGCTGGGGGGTGATTTCTTGTGGTGAGTGCATACAACAAATCTCTTAAAAAAAAAACAAACCCAAAACATGCCAGTTGGACCAGCAGATGGTGAGGTGGTTAAGGCACTGGATTCCCACATGGCTGACTGTGGTTAGAGTCCTGGACCTGGGTGCCTTGAAAGCACATCAGGCATGAGTACGTGCGTGCCCAAAATCCCAGAAGAATGGAGGAGAAGGGATTGTGGCGTGGCCATCCCCTGGGGGGTGATTTCCTTCTTTCCCTCTCCTAGTCTCTCTGTCTTTCACCAGTGAGCACACACACACCCTATGGCAAAAAAATTTAAAAAGGTAAAAAAGAACAACACTGGGTGTGTGTGCAACACACATCCCAAATCCTGGGAGACTAGAGAAGAGATTGCAGGGCACCATCCCCCTTGGGAGGTGCTTATTCTCCCTCCTTTCTCTCCTGCAAGTGTACCTGCCCTGTAGCAAATTGAAAAAAAAAAAAAAAAAAAGCCAATACGGAAGCACGTGTGCTTTTGACAGTACATCTCACATCAAACCATGGGTTCCGAGAGCAGAGGCCTGGTCTCTGTGTCCCCCTTTCCCAGAACTTGTTTTTGCAACTCTGGAAACCCGACAGCTTGGAACTTGGTCTTCCCGCTCCTCCAGGAGGACCTCATGTCTCCCTCCTGAGAAGGCAAGTCAGACCAAGATGAAGAGTTTGTGTTACTATCCCACAAACTAAAACTAAGAGCTTATGCCTGCCCAGCGAGGGTTTCCTCAATGCCAAACACGGTTTTAAAGAGCTCTACAGGGACCGGCAGGTGGCATGGTGGTTAGGAGCGCTGGACTCCCCCATGGCCGACCGCGGTCCGAGTCCTGGACCTGACAGCTTGCTTTCTCACTTTCTCTCTCTCACTCTGTCCCTCTCTGGTCAAAATTAAGAATAAGTAGGGACCAGGAGGTGGCATAGTGGTTAAGGTGCTGGACACTCTCACATAGCTGACCATGGCTCAAGCCCCGACCTGGTGGCTTGTTTTCTCATTCTCCCCTCCCCTGTCTCTCTGGTCAAATTAAAATAAATGAATGAATAAATAAAATTAAATAAGTAATTCTTAAAGAAAAAGAAGAATAAATAAAGTTTTAAAAAAAAGAGCTCTAGGCCTCCACATAACCCTGACAGAGGTTTGGGGTCCAGGAAGGCTGTGCTCGCCTGGGCCTGTTTATATTTTATATTTTATGCCCGGCCCTAACATGGGACCGGACATAAAACGCACCTGGCTCTGTGCCCAACGCATCCTGGACTGGGAACCCCAGGGCCATAAAGTGGATTGACATGGAAGATAAACATGGAGGCTGCCATGGCCACTATGTACATGGCATCTGTATCTATGGAAACGGAGACCTAAAGTGGCCAATGAATTCACCAAGCCTGTTTGCTAACAAGTTTGAGCTTAACGCATATCCCCTTACTGTGGAGTGCCTTGAACTGAAGCTTCAGGAAAGAACCCTCAATCAGAGTGAGACTGCGATCCAATCCAGCTGGTATTTCTGATCTACAGAAACTCCTGACTAAGGGAAACTGTAATTGGGCAGAAGAGACTTTCTTTGGGAGAGACTTTTGGTTATGCTAACAGTTTCAGGCCCACGGGAATGGCTTCCGGACCTGGCTACATAATTACATTGAGCCTACCCCGTGGACACTATGAAGTACACTAGCAGGGTGGCTGGGCAGGACAACCCTGGTGCTTTCTCCCTGTTTCTCGATGCTTCCCTCTCTACTAGGCTATTGTTATAATCAGTAATAAATTCAAAGGTTAGATTGGGACAGCCGCAAAGCCTAATGGTTAAGGGAGCCCAGATCTCATATGACTGACCATGTTCTAATCTCAGCCATTGAAAAACACACCGGGTGGGTGTGCATGTGTGCCTAAAATCCCAAGAAGATGAAGAAATGGAAAAGAAGGGGGTTGAGGCATGACCAGGCCTACAGAGGGTATTATGGGAGGGTGCTTTCTCTGGTTTTCTGTCTCTCTCTCTCTCTGACAAATGCATGCACTCTACAACAAATAAATAAACAGATGTCGTTACATCTTTGTACCAGATACTCATCATATAAATATTTAAATATTTAAATATTTATATGATGAGTATGGTCTCCCACATGGCTGACCACGGTTCAAGTCCTAGACCTGGCAGCTTGCTTTCTCATCTTCCTTCTGTCTCTCTCTGGCCAACAAAAAAAAAAAAAAAAAAGACAATGAATAAAACTCAAAAAAAAAGAGCTCTACATATCTTTTTTTTTTTTTTTAATTTTGCTATATGGTGCATCTGGTCACTAGAGAGGGAAAGTGAGAAAGCACCCCCCCCCTTAAGAGGGTATGGCCACACCACAAGCCCTTCTCCTCCATTCTCCTCAGGATTTTAGGCACACACACATACATGCACTCTGCATGCTTTTCAATCTGCTGGGTCCGGGATTCGAACCATGCAGTCAGCCATATGGGAATCCAGCTGCCTTAACCTCCATGTCACTTGCTGGTCTGAGCTCTACATCTCTTAACTCAGAGGAATCCTTACAATGGCCTCTGAGGCAGTGCTGGGAAAGACAAGCAGGAACCTAAATGCAGCAGTGAAGCTAAAGGAACTAGAAACAGTCAGGAAAGACACAGGGCCCTCTCACTTGGTGCACTCCAGCCAGGTGGGCCCCTTTGAAGTCTCCTTCAGTGTGGCTGGAGGGCAGGCTCCGGGAAGCAGGGGCCAAAGGAAAAGGAGGCTCTGGAGTCTGAAGAACAGACCAATGTTACGGGTTATTAGAGAGCTAGGGGGCAGAAGGGCCTTCATGTCACCAGGTAACCGTGGAATGGGCCTGATCTCTCAGAGTGAGAGTAGTGGCTTACCAAGGTGGCCAAGATCGGCTAAGAAAACACTACAGAAACCCACTTCCTTTCCTGCCTAAGTGGTCAAAGCTTACCACTGCTCCCTCCATCCCTGCCTTAGGCAAGCAGACTGGTTAGGTGCTCATTGGCACAGGTTTTTGAGGCCTGAACCCAGCTTGCCTTGGTCATGTGACCACAGGGCTTTACCCTAAAGCTCTACTCCTGCAAGCGACGGTGTCTGTGGAACAGCTGGTGGTTGGGCAGGGACATCAGAGGGGCCGAGGGCAGCATGCCTCGGCAAGCTGATGGCTCTGCCAGGAGCCCGCCAGACGGCCAGTGGAGGCAGTCGCTGAACAGGTGGGGCAGGAGGCAGTCCGCATGTTCTCAGAGGGAAAGGAACCAGCTTCCCCAGCAGAGGTTGAGGGCCAGCGCAGCCCACTCGGGCTCCCACATGCCCTTCTGGTCTAAGAGTTTTACCTCCGCATGAGATGCCCCTATTTCTCCTTTTCCAATTCCTTGACTTATGTCGGCTCCCAGTTCCCCCAAAAGGAGGTGACCAGGCAAAGATTGGGGGGAAGCGACAGGCTGACATTAATTGATAGGAGCGGCTTCGAGCAGTTCATGCTGCCTTATCTCCCTCTCCTTCGGATCGCGTGTGTCCGCCGGAGTCCGCGGGGTCGGTGATTAATAGGGGCCATCACTCACTGTCCAGGACGGCTGAAAGGCAGCAGGGAGGGGCGGGCCTCCCCAGGAACGAGATAATTTTTTTTTGCAGGAATAATGAGTGGTGTCACTCCACTTTTCATTTTGATGGAAAGTCATTACGGGAGTCAACGCCAGCGACAAAGAGCCATGAATCAACTGCTCTGCTATGAAATTAAAATCGAATTGCCGGCCACCCCCAACCCCTACCCTTCCCAGGAAATGGGGATGGGAGGTGGCATGGGAGAGGGGTGCTATCTTGAGGAGGGCTCTGCCCAATCACAGAGCAGGTGGTTATGGGCAGGAAGTGGACAGGCAGCAGTGAAGGTGACAACTCCTGTCTCCACCTTGTTTATCAGGCCTTTCCTCCCCAAACTGCATTTTCCCTCTGCCTGGAGGTGAGCTGTGATTAAAAGGAAAATATGACTTTGCTGGCTCCAACGGGGTTGCTGCTCAACCACTCCCAGGGGCTTCTGAACTGAGAAGGGCAGTTTAGGCCCTTTAAGGGAATGGACCCGGCTACTCGCCATCCCAGAGCCCTCTGCTGGGCCATGTGCACACACACGTCTGGGGTCCTTCTTAACAGCTTCCATGGACGAGGGGGGAAGCCCTTCATGGGGGCTTCAGTGCCAGTGGATGGCCCAGGGAGCCCAGCAGAACTGAGACCCCCGTGAGAGCAGGTGCAGACCCCAACTCCAGCTCAGAGAAGCAGTGAAAGTAACGGGAAGCAGGGAAGCAAAAGTCTTCGCCTCTTTTATTAAGTCCAAGTAGACGAACTAGACGGGGGACCTGTGGTTTCAGGTTGACAGGCCACAGGCCCCATCAAGACAGCTTCGTAGAAAGTACCAAAGCCACCATCTGGGTGATGGCGCCTTCCACGGCTTGCTGGGCAGAACCTCACCACACTTGCCCTGGCTGGCCCATGTCCACCCGAAGGCTAAGATGGGCAGGCAAGAACGCAGAGGATGTCAGAGGGAGGTGCCCATCAGGTTGACAGGGCGCCCACCATACCTCTTGGAGATGTCAGCTTCGATCTGAAAGACAGCGATACCAAGTGGGTGGGAAGCGGAAGGCACGAGGGCCTCGTTCTGCAGAACCTGGGGGCCCTCACACCTGGCGGGTTGCCCTGCCTGCTCACCAGCTTCTGCAGCTCCCTGGTCTTCTCCAGCAGCAGGTCGAGCTTGGGCTCCAAGGCTGCCTGCTCCTGAAGGGCCTCCCGCTGCTTCTGCACCATCAGTTCCTTCTTCAAGGCCAGCAGCTGGGACTGTTTCAGCTTCTGCTGGAGGAATTCGGTCACGCGGTCCACATACCTGTGAGGGGCCTGTGTGAGTGTGGTGGGGATGTGTACCCCGAGCAGCCCCGCTGGATGGCTGGGAAGGGGGTGGCTCGGGAAACCAAACCCCTAAGAGACCTCTCACCCTCACACCCCTCGGCCTTCCTGTTGTAAGGAACATCCGCTCACAGTTCCCCTGTCCCACTCGGGACTCAGACTCCGCCTGCACATATCAGAGCACCCCACCCTGCCCCAAAGAGAACAATTGCCAGTCGAAGGTGACATCTAAAAGGGAGGGAAGAGGTCTCAGGGTCACGGAAGAGGGACACGAGGAAGCAGGGCTGCTCAAGATGGTGGAGCCCTCCTTCCCCTGCCTCCAGGGGAAAGCCAAACCTTGGTGAGGCCAGGATCATAAACAGGTGTTGCATTCGAAGACTGGTGAGCCGGCCAATCAGATCCTGCAGCGCCGACACCATGGTAACCATCTTCTCTTTGGTCTGGCCCTGCAGGATGGCGGGAGCCAGCTGGAACTGGCTCACAGACAGGATGTCTGCCTCTTCGCTCATCTCCACTGCTCTCTGGGACAAGAAGATCTCGAGCTGAGGACAGAAGAGGGGTTGGTCAAACCAGGAAAGGGACTCAGAAGCCGAATCCTCGGTCTATTTGAGATGTGAGAACTCTGGGTGAGGAGGGTTACTTCCTCTGAACGCTGATTGCTAGACACTCTCTGCGGCAGTGTGAGAGCCCAGGCGGCCTCTGCTGCAACACTCTGGGGCTCCCATTCCTAGCTCAGCCTACCGGTGCTGGACCTTAGGGCTGTGGATCGCTCGGAACACTGAGACAGAGGACTCTCTCTGCCCGTGATGGCATTTATTTTTCTCCATGGGACGGATGAGATTCAGGGAATACAGCTCCATATTTGAGAAGCTCTGGTTTAAGAAAGGGCTAGAAAGAATATGAGAGCCATATCCTGTCACTCTTACTGTCATAGAAACTTGAAGCCTTTGTCCTTCTCTCGCCTTGAAGCTAGGAGGAGCCTCTTTGGGCAGAAAGAGGAAGGAACAAGGGGAGGACTGAGAACTTTCAGAAAGGTCACTGGGAAGGGAACAGATCAGAGAACAGCGAAGACAGGCCTGGCCTTCATCTTCCCAACCCTGCAGCAAAGGTCCACAAGCACCTCTTCCCGAACTGCATTCCACACAGATGAGATCACGTTGCTCCCAACCCACTCAAAACCGCCAACAGCTTCCTAGTTCACTCAGGGCCAAACTAAAGCACAGACGCTTCATCCCTCTGCCCCATCCCTCTGCCCCGGTGGCCCCTCTGCTCAGTCACACTGGCCTCCTTGCTGGTCAACGTGGGAGGCACGTCCGCACCTCAGAGCCTTTGCAGTTGCCCTCTGCCTGAGAAGCCTTCCTGCCAGACACCCGTGTGCTCCGTGCACGGCCTGCAGCCTCGACTTACAAGTCCCCTCTCAACGAGGCCTTTCCCGACCTGGAGAGAAAACGCAGCCTTCCAAACAGCACCCTTCTCTCTCCCCTGCTCCACATTCTCCATTTTTTCCCCAGTCTTTTTGCTGTAGGATGCATGTGCTCACTGGAGAGAATCAGAGACAGAGGAGGGACCAGCAGTTAGCATAATGGCTATGTCGCTGGACTCCCACGTAGTCGACCGTGGTTCACATCCCGGACCCGGTGGCTTAAAACTCATGCCGGGCGCGTGCGCGTGCATGCCCAAGATCCCAAGAGGAGAATGGAGGAGAAGGGACTGCGGCATGACCATCCCCCCTGGGGGGTGATTTCTCGCTTTCTATCTCTCTGTCTCTCTCTCTCTGTCTGTCTGGCGAGCGCACACGCCCTATAGCAAAAACCTCTCCAAAAAAAAAAAAGAGACAGAGGAAAAGTGAACAACCACCTCCCAGGGGATGATCACACTGAAATTCCTTTTTTTATTTTTTAAAAATTATTTAATTAATTCCATTTATTATTATTATTTTTTAATTTGACTAGACAAAGACAGAGAGAAAGGGCAAGAGAGAAAGCCAGCAAGCAGG